GGTTGAACTGTGGAGTCCTTGGTGCTCTCTGAGCTTGGTTGTTTGATTGCAGACGTTTCATAGCCTGACAGGTAACATCATCAGGTGGGTAATGAACAACCAAGCTTGGAGAGCATCAAGGACTCCACAGTTTTAAAGAGTATTTAGAATTGTTTCATAAGCTATATTTTCACTTTTCCCCATTTTTAAACAGCCTCAGAGAAAAACGTAGAAATACAATTTCTCCTAATTCTTCCATTCCCTCCCATCCCTGCTCCAGAAGCTATGACTGACCCTAAGAGTCCCGCCACTCCTTTACTAGCCCCTAAGGACAACCCCCCGCAACAATCTAGGTTGCTTCTGAGGTAGCCAATATCTGGGTCCCTTCATATTGCCTCATGGGCTCAGCAACTAGGAGGCTGAAGTTTGAGGAGTGCTTTCCTTTTCAGCAAAATTCTCTGATTTGTCCTTTGATACTGCTGGGCATTGTTCAATCCCCTGTCCCATCTACTGATTGCTAAGAAGGGAGAAAGGAGAACTTAGTTCCATCCTGCTAAGACGACTCTCTTCATACAGTAAATCCTGGGTTGCAGTTGTCGCATCTGTAACACTTCCTTTCGTTCTCTAGAAATAGGGAGATGTGCTTCACTTTTACTGCCTTTCAGGTAAGTACGATCCTAATCATTGTGCCTGTAAACCATTGTTTATGGTATAAATGACAGCATGTATACATTTTTCATATACCTATCATTCTAAGAAAAATAGCAATAGTGTTAACACTATATGCTACTAGAGGTAATACATTTAAATTTAAATACGCATGAAAAATGAACAGTTGGGAACAATAATCTTGCATAAACTTTTTTTTAACCAAGTCTTCTTGGAGGGAGGGAAGAACAGATCCTCATCAAAATCAATATAAATTTATTTCATTGGAGATTTACCATACAAGCCTCCATTAAAGCAGTGTGCATCTCATCTGTTTTGTGCTCTTGGTCGGCTCCTGCTTCAAGCAAAAAACGAACCATATCTAAGTGACCTTCAAAACACAAAATAAAAAAACAAATGAATTATTCGCTGTAGGATATAATTTCTGACTAAAATTTTGCATGAATTTTGCAGTTTTCTAGTCTGAATTAATTCCCTGAAGAGACACTATTTTGAATTACGAATCCTGAAAAGCTTGATCAGTAGTGGTATGATGGAGGCATTCTCTGTTATGAGACACACTATATGAAATGTTTTCCTAACTGTGCAGTCTTCTTAATGACTATTAAACAATTACTTGTTTGTCAACTACCCCAATCAGGGTTGCATTATTTTATTATTTTAATGTGTTGTTGATGATTTTGATTGCCTATTAATGAGGGCTGTGCAATAATCTGGGTTTGAAAGGGAAAAAGTGATTCAAAGCATGCATAGGGATGCAGGTTGCATTAGTTGGGCACCTCCTTAAATCAGATGGGATTTTTCTTGAAATCCAAGGAAAAGACACAAGTTTTTTTAAAGTGTTCCACTGGATGAAAGAGAACATGCTCCAAATCACCCTTCTCCCTTCATGTCTATACTGCTGCAAAGCCCTAATATTAATGCTTTACATTATTGCATTTTTAAATATTTTTATTGTAAATTACTTTTAACTAAATGAAGATGGGCATATAAAAATTAAAAATAACTAACAAAACACAAGCAAGAAGGTGCTAATATGCTTAGGAATTATTGTGCCTTCCAAATGTCATTTGATTAGAAATTGAAGGGAAAAAAAAGAACGGCGAATTATGTAAGCTTTTGATCTTATCCAGCAGGCTGTTCTTATGACTGACATATAATGGGTTACATAATATTTATACCAAAAGTAAAAATGTGGGATGGAGGGATGAGTAGACTGCAGTTGTTCTTTCTCCAGCCTTAAAAACTTTGATAGCTTGCATATTTTATTCCAAATTTCTGCCATGGCCCACCCCCTGAAGCATCATTCCCCCTGAGGTAAGATTGGCCCCAACTCTATTGGCCTTCCAGAAGACCCTGAAAACTTGGTTCTGCCATCAGGCGTGAAGATCCCATGGAAGTGTGGAGCCTGTTAAATGGCTGTACTGTGTATAAGCTCAGAATGCACTTTCCCACTTGTTTTCTTATTATAGTTTTGTTTTTAATTATAATTTTAACAGTATTTTTTTTAATTGTTTGGTTTTTGGTTCTTTTAATTGTGTGCACTGCCCAGAATCACAAACATGAGATGGGCAGCTTATTAAATAAATATTTCCTTGTGCCATGAGGTATGTTCAGGACTGTGTATATTCTATAATAAATTCCATGCCAAAGAAATCCAATCATTGCAATCTGAACAAGATCCTGAATCTCCAACCTGGTGCCTGTAAAGTCCTTCCTTGTCATTTTTACTATTAAAAAGTATTTTATTTTTTATATGAGAAATTATTTTGGTGCAAAGCTAAGGCACCAGTCTCATCCATGATTTTTACTTCTGAGAATGCTTCTGGGATTTACACATACCTACTGGCATTCTTAGAAAATATAAATAATGGTGAGTTGCAGCCCAGAGTTCTGTTTGGAACTTAAAAACCTAAATAAGTAGTGGTGTAGAAAGAATCGCTAGAAGAAATCCTGCCAATTTGCTTTTTGTAAATTATGAGATTTTTTACTATGCTCACCATGATAAGGCAATAACAGGCTCTCCTAATGTGCTCCATTTCCCTATAAAGGTTGGAAACCTGTCATAGATTAAATTAATGTGTATACCTGTATCATTATAATCTATACAATTCTTCAAAATGCCATACCTTTATAACAAGCAAGTGTAAGGGCACTTTCTTTGAATTCATTGGAATGAGTGTTGATTCCAGCACCATATTCCAGAAGTACTCTTGCAACCTCAACATGACCTGCACTGGCAGCCTCCATTAAGGGAGTATGTCCATTTTCATTATGATCTTCAATATTTGCCCCTGCTTTCAACAAGACTTTGACAATGTCAACAAATCCCCCAGCACAAGCATAGGTGAGCGCGGTGTTCCCTAAAAGAGAAAGAAACATACAGGAGTTATTTCTTACTCTAACATATTTTGTTCACTTACAATTTTAGAACATTCAGCAATATTTTACTATCATAAATTATGTTTAGGTCTACAATTCTATACCTACTTATCTGACAGTAACCTCCACTAATATCAACCAAATATAATCCTGAGCTTATTTATTTCCAATCTTTTGTACAGGAGCTCAAAATGGTGTACACAGGTTCTCTACTTCTCCACAACCAACACCCTGTAAGGTACTTTGGGCTGAGAGAGAGAATGACTGACCCAAAGTCATCCAATAAGCATTCATGGCTGAGGGGAGACTAGAGCTTGGGTCTCTCTGCTCCAATCCAACATCTTAATCATACACTACAATGACTCTTGTTGATTGGTATATAAAATTTTTAATTCTAAAACAGTTTCTAGAAACACAATTACTAGTAATTACTAACAATGTTATAGTGGCACTATGGCATCCAATTATGGGATATCAATTCCCAAAGTTGTGTTGTAGCATGACAGCTTGCAACTACATAGGTGAAATAGACTGAATAGATGTCAAGCTACTAAATCAACCCAAAATTTGAGAATCTTGGCCAGCTAATCTCTTGGTAACTGGCCTGCCTCCAGTGCTCACATTAGGACAAGATTTTCTTAGTATGCCAAATATCCTGAAACAACTATTTGAGCAATTTTCAACCAGAAAAATTAAGATGCAAAGATCAAGCAGACAAGGCCTTTGTAACATCTAAGATGCCAATGAAAGGTAGGTTATCATATGAACTACGAATGCACAAAGTCTACTTTTCCGGAGCATTATGTTTCTGGGTTGGGGTTTTTTTTGGGGGGGGTATTAGTGATGCTGTTTTTCAAATATTTTAGGTAGTACTAACTCAATTTCTTCACCCAACTTTTATCAATGTTATTTAAAATACTGATCACAAAAGGTTACTTCTCATATCTAGCATTACTTCTTTAAATATCATGAACCTATTTCTAACAGAAATCTTATACAAAGCCTGCAAATAGGAAACTAGGACTTGCACCCACAAAGAGACAGGTGGTGACTAAATTTGAAATATAAATAAATAGTTTCTCATTTATTTTATAAAAACTTACCTGTAGATGACTGGGCATTCACATCAGCACAATGAACAAGGAGTAGTTTTACAATGTCCACATAGCCTCCACTGGCTGCTGCCATGAGTGGAGTTATATCTCCTTTATTCCCTCTGTCTTCAACATTTGCATGCATGGCGAGCAACACCTGCACAAATTAAACATGTTAACTGTATTCCTTTCCTGCTATTCTCAAGACTTTAGCTATTTTCTATATGATGCAGAAGAATCAGAAGTTTAACTGCAAAAAAGTTGTAAGACATCAGCTCTGTGCTGGTCCTATGCTGAAAAGTTTCTGCCTGCTCATACAGCTTTCATCTTAGGATTTAATTATTTATCTATACTACTTATAGCCCGCCCAATCCCAAAGGACTCTGGACAAAATGAAACAAAACAAAAACAATGAATAAAATCATGATCAAACCCCCAAAATAGACACCCTCAATCAGCTGGGGCTGAAGACTCAATGAAATAATACAGATTTTAACTTATTTTCAGATTATTAGCAAGCTGGGGACTGCAAGTACTTCTGGAGAGAGAGTCTTCCATAAAGTGGCATCTCATCCATACCCAATGTATCTCACAAGGGTGGTAGACTCTAATTAGATTGGACAGGCAGGTTCAATTCTGACAGGCATTATCTGATATATCCCAGGGCTGCACTTATATATAGCTTTAAAAGTAACCACCAACACTTTGAATTGGGCCCAAAAACCTACTGGCAACCAATGTAGCAACTTTAATGTAGACATTATTCTGCATTCATGGGGCTGTCCATTCAGCAATCTAGCTGCTATATTTGCACCAAAAGGGAAAGTAAGAATAGTCTAGAAGGCATGTAGAGGCGCTACTCACTTGTGCCAATTCATAATATCCAGCTGAACAAGCCAAGCAAAGTAAACTCTCTCCTTCTTCTGTATGTTCATTTACACTTCTTCCTTCATCAAGCAGTTTCCGAACAGCATTTACATCCCCATCTGAACAAGCTTCTGCCAAACTGCGACTAGAAGATATTTTAAATAAAATTATTGTATAAAAATTATCCACTGTTAATCTTAATTTAAGGACAGCTGATATGTTTTGGAAATTGGCTAATGAAACATTTTAAGAAAAGTCTTAGTAACCTAGCAACTATTACCCTAGTGGAGACAATATTTTCCCACCCAAAATAGGTTTGCATCTCATTTCATACCATTCCAGGAAAATTAAGTATCTAAATTGGGAAAGAATAAGAATTTGCCTGTTACTCTGACTATCCTGCAGTCAACTCTGCCCTCATATATGTAGGTTTTATATCTGCATACATTATTATTCAGAATGTTCTAGACCAAAGATATTTGAACAGGAAGCTTTATTTCTATCTCATTCTGTTAAGTTCATGAAAGCAATTTGCTGTTTTTCACTCTCCTCCTCTCAGGGAAAAGTGGAATCTTGCAACAGAACAACAGATGAGTAGTGCAAATGCATAGAAAACAATTTAAATAACTAATGTTACTAGTAAGCAGGGTAAATAAAATAAAGGATGGCTTTTTAAAATCCAGAATTTAAATTGACAGTAATTTTTTTTCTTAAAATATTTTGTAAAAACGAAAACATTTTTGTGGGGTCTTTGGGGTTCTCTGAGCTTGGTTCTTTTCTTGCAAACGTTTCATTACCCGGCTAGGTAACATCTTCAGTGCAAAAAACATTTTTTTAAAATATAAGAAATACAGTTATAAAGTATCTATTAATTACATTTTGTTATGCTTCCTGAGACAAGTTGACAGATCTGCTAACTGACCTTTTTCTAAAAGTGCAAAGTTAATGTGTAGAATTTGAGCTGTGAGAGCTGATGTAGAAGAAGGGTTTGGATATGAATGCAAGGACTGGGGGAGTGAAATAGATAGTGAAACAAAACCTGAGCAGAACATAATTGAGTAATAAATTTCTGCTCCTGAAGTGTACCTTCCATTTACTAAAACCTAATCATGGCAGCAGAAAATAAAATACTCAATTTGGGAATATTTTAATTAATACTTGTATGGCTTGGAAGCACACAAAATATCTATGATACACCAAAAAAGATTAAGCTTGGTGACCTGAGTGAAGGACAAGAATTTAGGAAGCAAATATCAAATGCACATGTATAGAATAGAGGACAATTGGTTTAGCAAGAGTACTTGTGAACCACATCACGGAACTGGCTATATCAATATTACTGTAATTCCAAAATCAAGGGAAATGATTATTCTACTTCAACTCTGGATTTGTCAGACACTTCAAGCACTTTATCAAATTCTGGCACAATTAAGACAAATTTTAACAGGTTCAGAGGAGAGCAATAAAGATGATCAGGAGACTAGAAACAAAGTCCTATGAGGAGAAACAGAAAGATTTTGGAATGTCTAGCTTTAAAAAAAAAAAAAGCTGAGAATATTTTTGTTTGCCTTCTAATTTGTTTTCTTTTTGTTCTTCAATCACCTCAAATGATGTCATACAGAAGATGATTAACACTACTACTCCAGGTTGCAACTTGCCTTTTAGATGAGTTTCTCAAATTATTCAAATTATGTTTGAATGAAAGATAGGTATTATAAGATTATACAGCAGCATAAACAAAATCAGCAGATATTTAATCTGTGTATGTACTCAGTAATATTTTTTTTTAAATTATATACAGTAACTACATTGACTTCTTTTGCTAGGTGGAACTATCTCCAAAGTACAAAATTCTGATGGCTGCCCACTTGCATAATCAGTAGTATCTATCATTTCAGAGTTGTTTAATAGCAGTGTTCCAGTCACAACGTATATTGTTGCCAAAAAAAAAAAATCTTAAATCATACAGAAACATACACATATAACTTTGTAATAAAAAAAAAGTTGATGAAAAAATGCTCAGTTTGTATTGCAACAAGTTGCAACAAGTTCTCCTTTCCATGAGGTTGAGAACATATACTTCAAAGTGGTTCAGTCATTTCATCTTGGATTCAGTCCACCCAACAGTACAGATCAATACTGCTAGGAATACTGGGTAAAGTATAGATGAAGAAAGAAATTTGTAAATAATCTACTGGGACAATTGTTACTAGTCTTGATGAGTGGAGCAATATCCACAATGACTCCATGTTTCGTACTTGTGTAGAGCTTCTATTTATTGAAACAACTGATAACATCAGAAAACAACACACATGAAGTTTTAGCAAACAGCAGCAAACAGGAAAAAACCTGAAATGCTTCTTATGTAGCCTTGTCATGAATAATGCTGCATATGCATTCAGATAAGAAGAAATTTAGAAGAAAAGGAATTCACTATGGCATGAGTGTCCAGCAGTCATTCTTCCATAAGGCAAGCTGTAATAAAGTTCAGGGCAAAGGGTGATCCATTAAAAAGAGTGAGAAGCAACTGAAGGGTAGAATTTGTGTGGAATAGTGTTAAGGTAGCTTGTCAGCGACCTCTATTAAATAGCTTCATAAATAATAGAATTTAGTTGTGATATCTAATCCAGCATCTTGGAACAGCTAGGGGGGAAAAAAAAGATTCAAAGTTCATTAACTGTAAAGACCCAAACCATTTGGTTAATACTGAAGGACTGTGCGAGTCTCTGCTTGAAGGATGCTTTTCGTTGGAGGCTATTTCACTTGTAAAGATAATGGAGGGCCAAAGGAAATCTTGTTCCTAAACTGAACTTGATAGAAAACATTCTATGGCATCAGCATTCCACATACGATAAAGGCAATTTTCAACCTAGCAGAACTCAATAACAATTTTGAATTTTTAAATCTATTTCCACCACAAGAAAGCATTTATTATGATAGGGTGTTTCAAACTGCCTCATTCTAAACCCAGTTCAGACATGTTTTCTATGGCAGCTGCTCATCTTTGACATATAGTCTACTAAAGTACGAGTATTATCAATCTATTTTTATTGTACAAAGCAATATACTACTGTATCCTGCAAAACCTGGACTGAGTTTATTGATCCTTTTTTGATGATCCAGTAGAGGTGCAACTGTCTTCCAAAGAAGGTGGAACATAATCTGCCACCACAAAGTCCATGATAGTACTAGAATGGTCCACAATTCCTTAAAGGCATGCCAGTAACCTCAGATACTCAGAGAGATTGTGTCTTTTGAATTGTCTCTCTGAAGATGAAAAATTAAGATTTTGTCAGTCCTTCCTCTGGACCCTTAGAAATTTTCATGCATACTAATCTTGGTGGCAGGGAAGACAACTTTCTGACAGAATTCCTAAATGGTTTAAAGTGCAAAAAGCATCAGTATTTTTATTGGGACTGCACAGCCTGACTAGGGGGACGCGGTGGCGCAGCGGCTTAATGACGCTGAAAGTTGCCGGCCAGAAATGGTCGATGCTTCAGTGGTTCGAGTCCAGCCTTCG